GGTGAGTTGCCATTTTCTCTTTTTTGAGCTTTTCTTTGCAATATTTCTTAGCCTCTCCTTCTTATACATTTGAGCTCCGACCAAAAATGAAAGTACCCTTGTTTTGAGCTCATTTTCATGTCTCATTAAGGGCTCAACCCTGTTTGAGCCCTCCATCTTTCACTTGCTTCATTATCCCTCTAAAAAGTCATTTTCTTGCATGATATTTTTAGCTTGTGTGTGATTTATTTTGGAGCATGTTATAAACTGTAAGTAGGCTTATTTTGAGCCCCTCTTCAACATTGAAGAAGGTCTCAACACTGTTTGAAACTTCCATGTTATACTTCTCTTTATATCCTCCTTTTGGTCCCATTTTTGTATGCCTTGGCAGCCCCTGATGTTGCTGTTTTTGGACTTTGGTCTGAAATAAAAGTGGCTTGATTTTGACCTCCTGAACATTTTTTATTAAGGGTATTTTCTTGTTTGGTGAATTTTTTGTATACCTCATGTTATAGCCACTTTTGAGCCTCATTTTTGCATTGCATTTCTAATATATTTGTATACTGTTTTTGGGGCTGACATAAACTGTAAAACATAATATTTTGGGTCTCTCTTCAACATTGTTGAAGGACCCTAACCTGTTTGGGGCCAGCAGCTATGAGTTTCTTTTTAATCTCATGTTTAGGGCCATTTCTTGCATGCTAGTTTTGCCCTATCTTGGTTTGCTGTTTGGCCATGTTTTGTCCTGGTAAAATGCTAATTTTGGGGCTGCCTTGCTTCTGTCTTTACATTCCATGTCCATATTGTGCATGTTTGGTATAGCTATAGGCCATTTCGGGTGCCAAAATTCGTGTTTCGGGACTATTCCGTGCATCGGGTGTACTTTCGCTTCGTTTCGGGGCTGTTTTACCCCATATTTCATTGCTGAAAATCCATTAGCATGCTTGCATACCATTTTTGCCACGTTTGCATTGCATATACCATTGCCTCGGTTTGCGTGCCCGTGTGCACGCATTTCGAGGCACTTCATTTTCATCCATCGGCCTCTTATGTGAGTGTGGCTGAGGCTCTCTCATGTTAGTATAAGTCCATGTTGCATTCTATATGCCATTTCCATGTCATTTGCATTGCGTATACCATTGCCTCGGTTTGCGTGCCCGTGTGCACACATTTCGAGTCACTTCATTTTCATCCATCGGCCTCTTATGTGAGTGTGGCTGAGGCTCAATCCTATTAGTGTAAGCCCATATCACATTTTCATGTCATTTAGATCTCATTCTGTCATTTTTTCAGTTTGCGTTCCCGTGTGCACGCATTTCGAAGCATCTCATTTTTACAGCATAGCGCATACTAGGTTGTATCTTAGATCGCATTCAGGTATTTTTCTCAGTTTGCGTGCCCGTGTGCACGCATTTTGAGGCATCTCATTTTCATAGCATTGTGCATACTAGGCTGTATCTTAGTTGCATTCATGCATATCATGCATATTGCATCGTGTTCGGGATAGGAGTTAGCCCGGGCACAGGAAACGAGGTGCGTTTCGTACTCCGAGTGACGAAACGCGTCTCAATTCCCCAGTCACCGACGCTCCGGATTATCTATGATGGAGTTAGGTTTTAGCTTTGTTTCATGTGCATTCATCCTATATTGAATTGTGCAATTCGACTCCTCGGCCATCATGCATCGAGACGCGTGATTGGTGGCACGAGGATCGAGACATGCATATATTTGTGAAAATACATTGCTATGCCCCTTTCCTGCTCTCTGTTGCAGCAAAATGAAGAATCAGCAATTTTTTGGGACTTGGCGCGTTTTCCAAGGATAACTGCTAAACAGAGGCTAATTGGGGCATCCCGGTGGATTTCCGCGCAAG